CAGGAGCACAACACAGCCATATCCACTCTCCCCTACAATAGTCTATGGAGTTACAGGAAGTCCCCACACCTCAGTTCTTTGCAGAAACCAAAAGAGGCATCCTGCTGAAAGGGAATATTCACTTTTATTCCAGGATGGTGTGGCTAGCCACCTGTGTGCTCAGTACCATTTGAAGAATGGCCATGTGGAGGAAGAGTGTTCCCTGATGAATTATATCCTTTCTGATACATGATGGGGCCTACCATAAAAAGTTGACACAAATGAATTTACTTTGAAAAAAACAGAAATGTGAAGCTGGAGAGATAGCTCAATCAGTAAAGTGGTTGTCATGAAAACATGAGGACCTGAGTTCCATATCCAACATCCACATAAAAGACAGGTGTATCAGTATAAGCCTGTAATCTCAGAACCAGAAGGCAAAGACAGGAAGAATCCCAGACTTGCTAGCCAGTCAGGGAGCTGTAGGGTAGGTAAGAAATCCTGTCTCAATAAGGGAAAGCCAGGCTTTGTGGCACACATTTTAATCTCAGCACTCAGGAAGCAGAGGCAGGCAGATCTTGTGAGTTCTAGGCCACCCTGATCAACACAGAAAACTCCATATCACCCACTGTGAGACCCTGTATCAACAAAAACAAAAATAAATAAAAATATATATTCCACTAGCTAGAAAATCTTAACAAATGGATAACTTTCTAGATATGTACAGCCTGCTAAATATATATCAAAATGACATAAACAATCTAAACAGACCCATAACAATCAGAAATACAGTAAGCAAAAATCTCCCAACTAGGCGGGCATGGTGACACACAGCTAGGCGCATCACTGTGGGATCAAGGAAGCCTGATCTACACAGTGAGTTCCAAGCCAGCTGGGGCGACAGGAAGACTATGTCTCAAAAAGACCAAAACAAACAAACAAAAAAACAAACAAACAAAAATCTCCCAACTATAAAGAACCCAAGGACCACATGGAGATAGCACAGAATTCTACCAAATCTTTAAAGAACTAATACCAATAATCCTCAAATTAGTTCATAAAATAAAAAAGGAAGGAACATTCCCAATTTCTTTTGGTGAAACCAGTATTACTCGAATACCAAAACTAGACAAAGACCCACCAAAAAAGAAAATTATACATCACTGTCTCTGATGAACATAGATGCAAAAATTCTCAGTAAAATACTCACAAATGGAATGTAAGAACCCATCAAAAAATTATTCATCATGATCAAGTTGCCTTTCCTCCCAGAATGTAGGGATGGTTCAACATGTGTGAATAAATAAATGTAATCCACCATATGGACAGACTCAAGGACGGAAACCACATGATCATCTCATTCGATACAGAAAAGGCCTTTGAGAAAATCCAACATCCATTCATGATAAAAGTCATAGAGAACCTAGGCATACAGGGGACATACCTCAGTACAGTAGAGGAAATTATACCACAAGCCATAGTCTACATCATAGTAAATGGAGAAAAGCTGAAAACATTCCCTTTAAACTCAGGAACAAGACAAGGATGTCCACTCTCTTCATTCTTCTTCAATATAGCATTTTAAGTCTTAACTAGAGCAATAAAACAAAGGAGATAAAGGGGACACAAGTTCAAAAGGAGAAGTCAAAGTATCCTTACTTGCAGATGATATGATTTGATACATAAAGGATCCTAAATACTCCATAAGAAAACTCCTTAAGATGTTAAATACATTCAGCAAAGTAGCAGGATATAAAATTAACAGCCCAAATCAGTAGCCTTCCTATACACCACCAAATAACACACCAAGAAAGAAATCTGGAAACAATCCCATTGATGATAGCCTTAAACTCCATAAAACATCTTGGAATGACTCTAACAAAGGAAATTAAAGACTTGTACAATAAGATCTTTGAGACACTGAAGAAAGAAATTGAAGAAGATAGCAGAAGATGGCAAGCCCTCTCATGCTCACGCTCATAGGATTAATATTGTGAAAATGGCCATCCTACCAAAAGCCATCTACAAATGCAATGCAATACCCATTAAAATTCCAGCACAGTTATTCTCAGAAATTGAAAAAAAATACCAAATTTCATATGGAAACACAAAAAGAAATACAGAATAGTCAATATAATCCAAACAATAAAAGAACTGCTGGAGGCATTACCAGCCCTGATATCAAATTATACTACAGAGCTACAGTCATAAAAACAGTATGGTACTGGCATGAAAACAGATATATTAATCAGTGGAATAGAATTGAGGATGCAAACTTAAATCCACGTATTTACAGCAACCCATTTTTTTTACAAAGGGATAAAAATACACCCTGGAAAATAGACAGCATTTTCAACAAATGATGTTGGTCAAATTCGATAAGGGCATATAGAAGAATGAAACTAGATCTCTATCTCTCACCACACATGAAACTCAATTCCAAATGAATCAGGGACCTCAACACAACACCCAATATCCTGAATCAGATAGAGGAGAAAGCAGGAGATACATTGGAACTTCTAGGCATAGGAAAGGACTTTCTAAACAGGATTCCAATAGCGTAGTCCAACAACTGACACATGGGACCACATGGAATGAAAAGGCTTCTATATTCTATACATCAAAGGTGTGACACCATTATTTGAGTGAAGAGGCAACCATTCCCATAAAATGGGAAAAAATCTTTACCCACAGAGGGTTATTATCTAGAACATACAAAGAACACAAAAACTCAACATTAAAAAAAAACACACACAAACAGTCTAATTTAAAAGTGGGGCAATTAGCTGACCAGAGTGTTCTCTAAAGATAAAACACAAATGGCCAGGAGAGGAGTCCCATAGACCCTCAAATAATACTGGCCATTGCCCCTGCTCTTGGTTACCCACCAGAACTCATTGATGAGATCTATTTCTGAAGACACTACATACATGAGCTGAAGAACAAACAAGGAGAGATCGAGCTGGTGCTAAATTCAGAGCCTCATCTCTATTGGGTAGTGTTCATAGTGCTGGAAGTTGCTATGTAAGCTACCAGAAGGAAAAAGTAATCATCATCCTTACCCAGCTGTGAGGCTTGTGAACTACAATAATGACTGGCCTGGTAAGCAATGCCCACCAGTGTAATAGTAGCACAAATATTGCAGGAGTAACCAAGTACTATTTAATTGGGTTTAAGGTCTGCTTTCTATGATCTGACATTGGTATCAGGCTTAGGCACCTAATACTAGGGGAGAACCTAACACTAGTTTCTACTAAATAGTTGTCATACTAAACTGACTCTTAATGACTTATTGTCATATCCATAGATTAATGAATCTCTCAACTCTCACCAGAGAATTTTCTTTATGCAACAGATTGTGATTAACACAGAAACCCACAACTGGCCAGTATGTAGAGAACAAGAGGCTGTAGAGCATTTATCCCTGAATAGCCCATCTATATCAAACTTCTGTCCCTAAGGCTCAGGGATCATTGTGGAAGATGGGGCAGAAAGAGTCAGAGGTGGTGGATGACCACAAGAAAACAGAGCTTCTCAAACCACCGGGAAATTACTCATATAAACTCACAGCAATGGTAACAACATGCACGAGTTCCATTCAGGTTCAAACCAGAAGGTATCCCAGCATATACATAAGGAAGGAAGGAAGGAAGAACCTCTAATACTACCTAAAGAAAACTGTGGCAATAGATTGCTGCTGGGAGGGGCAAGGACACCCCTAACCACTCATCAAAGAAGCATTTTTTCTCAACAGATGGAGACTATTACAATGTTCTACAACTGGTCAAATGCAGAAAATAAGTGTGAGATGCTCTGCTCTAAGTGACACATCTACAATGGAACCTCTACACCTAAGGCTCAGGCTCAGGGAACATTAATGGAACAGGGGAAGGAGAACATCAATGCATCTCTCAACTCTACCAGCAAATCTTCCTCACGCAACCGATGGTGATTAACACAGAATGCCACAACTGGCCAATATATGGAGACTAAGAAACCATAGAGTATGTGTCCCTGGATAAGACTTTTATATTAAACCTCTGCCACCCAGGGCTTAGGGACCATCACAGAAGAGGAGGCAGAAAGATTGTAAGAGCCAGGAGAGGTCTATGACCATAAGGAAACAGAGTTTTCCAGGTGGCTGGGAACTTGCTCTCATATGAACTGACAGCAATGGTGATGGCATGCACAAGACCCATGCAAACTCCACCTAGACAAAAACCCAGCATAGAAGTGGGGAAGTAGATAGGAAACCCCAGTACGAACTGAGGAGCTACTGGCAACCAATAGGTACTTGGAGGGGGACAGTCAGTCTTCTTGAAGGGTGTTGCTCTGGGTAGGTTAACCAGGCTCCAGTGGAAGGACCCATATTGAAGGGTACTCAGGGACACAAGTTTGACACGCAAAATGACTTAAATATGCACACGTGTATGTATATATATATATATATATATACACACACACACACAAAATAGAGTGCATGATATTGTGTGTGGGTGTAGATACAGTAGAGGGTCTAAATATGATCAAAATATATTGTATGAAATTCACAAAACTTCAATAATAAAACCTAAAAACTAAAGAAATCTAACTCAGCATGAATTCATTGAAAAACACTTGCCTAGAGGCACATAACTACTTAATATCTTATATATTCACTAATAAAAAATCACTCCAGGTAAATCTCACTGCACATAAAGTACTTACCTCAAGAGAATCTGCTAAAATTTAACTTATATATAAGTCCATGCTTCCCCAAAATCTGAAAGTTTCATCAAATAGAGAGAAGTTGAGTAAATTAAGCTAAACAATAGATTTTTATCAATTATGGAGTGCTCACATTCATAGGAATATCATAGCAAGCAGAAACAGTACACAGAACTATCGTACTGATGTAAAATCTACAAGACCAAACATTTACATCAAATTTTATAAACAAAATGTGATCCATCAATCTGGCATGTCATGGTGGTGTCACCACAAGTTTTGTTTTATTCACACCCAGAAGGAAATATGTTTACCTGTCTTATAGAACCGGAAGGAATCATGGGAAGCATCAATTGCAACAGGAATCGGCCCTATAGTTGCTACTGCAATCGTGAGGACATCCTCACCCTCTGGGAGGATCATAAAGTCTGTGACATTAGCAGTAGCATTCTCAGGACTGTATCTGCAGGGTCCTACCTTTAAAAATGAAAGGCAGAAGAGATTTGGATATTTCCGTCCATCTCTTGGGTAACAGCAATTGGAACCACCACATGTAGCACTTGGCATAAAAGCATTTCCATGTCTGAGCTATTGTAATTCATCGCAGGAAGTGAAATGCTGCTAGTAGATTTGAAACTGGAAACTAGCTCACAGGTCGTCAATGGCACCTCATAAATCTTCCTGTCATCATACAGTTTCACAGTGGAGGAATCTGCATCATGCATGGAATGGTTTGCATATCCTCCATGTTCCTAAGAAGCAGGAACAACCACATGGAAACCATCACCTAGGACAACTGTGCAAAAACTAATCCTGTCATGGCATCAGTGATGGCTTATAGAGAGAGTCTACCAACTAAAGGCGAGGTCTGAAAGCAGTGGATTATCTCTGCAATTATTTTACTTTCTAAAATCTGAGCTGAAATGCCAAACACACAGGAGTTCCATTTACCTTTTGTTCATACGGATAGGTTTCTCCAGACTCCAGACCTCCGTTATCCTTCACACACTGGAAGGTACCGACTACAGTGCCTCCATGGCAGCCCACATTGCCTTGAGGTTGAGAGCAGTCCACTAGGTTCTGTACACTTAGCTGGACCAGTTTGCCTGTTCTGTTGAACATCTGTCCTTCTATGGCACCAACCGCCCTAAAAGGCCAACAAGGACTACATCTGCTCTGAACAGGGAAGAAAAGATTGTCATCTCCAAACAAATAGCAACTCCAACAACAACATGGACCCTTACATACTTTATCAAAAAATGAGCTATTGGCAGTTGATGCTGCCTTAGGAGGTCACTCTACTCGGCTGCTGGAAGTTGCTCATGCCCCAGTGGATGGTAACACAGACAAGCACATATGGATAGTACCTACCGATCTCTGGAGGTTATTAATGACCAAGAAAGAAGGTGAATTGGGAGGGGGTTCAGATGAGGTGGGGTCTCTGAGGGGAGTAGAAAGGAGAGAGTGGTGGATAGATAGGATCCATACACATTATACAAATCTATGAAACGTTCAAAGAATAAAGAATGTTTAAGAAATGGACTGCATGGTGGTCCACAGTCAACCAAAACAGGATGTCAATGCCTTGTCTCCCCAGGGGCTGAGGAAGAGAGGAGTGTGACGACGTCATACCTGATACCACACAGGATTCACATAGTCTTTCTTTCTCCAATCCACAGATTTGGGGAAATCATCAAGAACCAGACGTTTCTGGATTCTTTTGCCTTTCCTGAGATTTGAGACTGGATGATTAATCATTGTTTCCTTAAATTCCTCACTGGTCTTCAAGGAAAAGTAAATAAAACAGTGAAAACCAAAAGGTAGAGGACTAAAGAGAAGAAACAGTGTTAAGCCATCCCCACACACACCATGTCACCGAAGGCGTTCATTTCCATGGTAAAGCCGTGCTCCCCCTGGTCGTGTTCCTCACTGTGCTGTTTGATCAATCTTATGTTTTCTTCCCAAACTGCTCTTTTCTGTACTTCTTCATCCTAGAAATACACATAATGGCTATTTCTTTGTAAGTAAACTCTCCCACAGGCTGACCAAGGGCATTTCTAACCACAGGTGAGGAGGAGCCACAGAGAGAAATCTCAGGACCCTGCAGAAAGTCATTCTCCACACCTTAAGAGGGATCTTGGTGACCCTGTGCTCACATTGCACGTGGTTAGGCAACCCCTTAGTGAGGGGTGGCCTCTGTGGCCCCTTTTGTGCCCATAAACTCCCAATAGCAAGTGCTAGTCCCTCTGAGGAGTTTCCATGTTGCCAACCGGGCTGTATGTTTTCTCATAATTTGTCTTCCACTCCTCCCATTCAGCATCCAAACTGGGATCAAGTGAGCGAGCAGCTGAGACCACTCCCAAGCAAAGGATGGTCAGGAAGGCAACAGGAGTCATGTCTCAGAAACCTACAGAGGGAAGAGAAATAAAGACATCACTATAACAACTCTTCTAAAAATGCCTTCTTGGGGGGGTGAAGAGATGGCTCCGAGGTTAAAAGCATTGGCTATTCTTGCACAAGGCCCAGATTTGGTCCCCAGAACCCACTTAGCAGCTGACAACTTTCCATAACTGCAGTTCCAAGGGATCTGTCTTCTGCTGGCCTCGGTGGGCACTGCACAATACACATGTACGTATGTGCACGCAGGCAAAACATAAAATATTTTTTAAAAAAACAATGACATCTTTCTCCTTCCTGAGATATTAATCCATCCATGGTAGAATAAAATTATTTGAGTTATGCCTCCAAATATTTATCCAAAGATTTGGGGAAAAGGCTAAAGCTGTGGTTGGACTAAAACCACCACTTATGGTATGCAGTTTGTCTATCAAAATGAAAAGCAGATGCCCAGAGTTCTGGGAATGAAAACTGCCCACACACTGCAACTTGTGTTAGAAAGATGTCCAAGAACGTTGAGGTTCAAAACAACTGGGTACTTAAGATATTGGTGACCTAGGATTTTTGCCAAGCAAAACTTCTTTAATGCACCATCTGATCCTAAGTAAAAGGTGAGCTCAAGAATTGGGGCCACATGGCATCATATTACTGCCTAAGACAGAGGAAAAGGGCATTTCCCAAAAACTTCCACCTAGAATGAAGACTTTCTCACATGTCCTTACAGAGTATCAGAAGGATGACTACTAACAGTCCTTCTGTCCCACGCTTGGGCCCATGCCACTAAAACTCCCATTCATGACCTCAGTGAGGAAGGGGTCACATGCAAAAGCCACTGGGAGTCAGAGCCACCACTGTAGGTGTTTCAAGAGCAGGCCTCTCCTAAGATTTCAGCTTCAGGACTTTCTGGGTCTTCTAAGCAACACTCCGTGCAGGATGTGGCTAGGGACATGCCATGTTTTACTCCTTCTGCATGTACAAACCCCAAACAGAAGCCTATACCCAAGGATGATGTACTGGAGGATGATCCCCATTAGCACAAGAAAAGATGGACGTGGTAGCTGGTGTGCAAGGTATCAGCTGACACTCTATGTGGCCATACCTAGGCTAGAATGTAATGAGAACCTATTCAAAGTTGAGACCCTCAGGAGCCCAGGTACCCCTTTGGAATCTATACCCTCCTCCTCTTCCCCACATTAAGGTTACTGAGGCTGAGGAGAGATTCTCTCCCAGACGGGATCTGCCTGATACTCCAAGGAATCCCTCAAAGCACTCCCCGCCAGTGTCAATTCCTATTCTGCAGCGGCAGAGTCAGGGCCTCACCAGGGTTGACCACTGCTGCCTTGGTGCACTCCACAGACTCCGCTCTTCTGAGATCCCAGGATCTGGCCCAGCCACACTTCACTCAGGCTTTAAATCCTAATTCTCTGGTCCCGCCCCTCAATCTTACCATTCTTTTGATTGGCTCTGTTGGTGACTGGACTGGGTCTCCATGCTCTGTGACTCCAGGCATATACAGATCTGTTTCCAACCTACACTGGAGGAGTGGGTGTAGGCTACCTACGTTTCTGTGGGGAGGTGAGCCTATGGATCTTGACAGTAGAAGGTATGGAACTAACCTTTAGGGCTGAGATCACGTAGCATCCTGACATTTTCTCTGATGAGTGGTTCTAGAAAAAGGGTTTCTTCATACAACTGTGTGAAAATCAGACTAATGCTTATTTTACTTTGGAATAAGACTTTTTGAAAAAAATCTTCTGGAGCAGTCTCAGTCAGCGTATTCTAGTCTGGAATTTCGTGTTTGATCCACCACTAAGGTGGCGTTCTAGGAGAATACAGACCCTGGGATGCTTTGTTTCCTAGCATAGGGTTTCAAAACAGCTGGCTCTCCAAAGAATCTTTAGGGGAAGGTGATCCCCAAACAGTAGAGTGATGTTCAAGACCAAAACCTAAGAGGGAAAACGAAGGGGTTGGACAGTTGGACAGAGATGTTCTCCTGAACTGCTTCACTTTTTTTTTTAAAAATCTTTCCTTAAATTGAGCACCCATCTGGAAGCACAATCTGACATGTTACTCTTTACACTAGGGTAACAATCCATAACATGAAAATTCCCATTTTAACCATTTTAGGCACACATTTCAATGGCTTTAAAAGGGACATCCACATTGTTGTGCACCTTATGCCAAGTAGATATCTAAATCATTTTTCTCTTCTTCAAAGAGACTCTACATTCATTAAATAATAGTCCACTGCCTCTTCCCCAACACCAGGAGCCTCCATTTTGTTTGCTCTGTAGAGGAATTTGGCTACTGCTACGGATTAAGTGGTGATTGTAACAGTATTAAAAAGTGGGACCATTAAGAGGTAAATTAGTAGGACTGGAGAGAAGAGCCATCAGTTAAGAGCACTGGCTGCTCTTGCAGAGGACCCAGGTTTGATTCCCAACACCCATATGGAGGCTAACAACTGTTCTTAACTCCAGTTCCAGGAGATCCAACACCTTCTTCTGACCTCCATGGGCATTGCACAATACAGGTGCACTTACACACAGGCAGGCAATGCACTCATACACATAAAATAAACATACTCAAAGAGAGGCACTATCTTACTGCTTCGCACTTAACTTGAATAATGGCATACAGTGGCCAGAGTTTCAGCTTTTTTCCAAATGCCTTTAGAAATGGAATTTTAACCATCTTCACCCAGTTCCAGGGGATCTGACGCCCTCTTCTGACCTTGATGGGCATTGCACAATACAGGTGCACTTACACACAGGCAGGCAATGCACTCATACACATAAAATAAACATAAGAAATACTTTTAGAAAGAGGTAAATTAGCCCCCAGTCACCAGTGTCAAATTACCTTTATTATCTCAGGTTATAGTCTGTTACAGGGAGACACCATATTTTGTTTGTCTATTGCATTTGGTTGCTTCTTTAGATTGGGAAAAAAAGATAGAATTCCCTACAGCCTACCCAATGTACACAACATCTAAATTTCTAAATATAGGAGAAATAAAGATACTTAAGTCACAGAGAGTAAGACAATATTAATATTGTGAATTATTAAAATAACTATTTTTTTTCAAATCTGCTAAATGATACCTGGTCCTACACAATTCAGACCCATCTTCTGCTAACATTGTCTGTCCCCTTCCTCGTAGCATCCCATTGTAGACAAGAATCCTAATAAGCCAGACTAACACAAATCATCATTATTGCTCTCTGATCACCCTCCACTTCTGATCAGGGTGCTTTCCTCCACCTGCCTCAGGTGAAGCCTGCTTAACTTGGCCTGTCTGTAGCACGATTCCTGAATCTGAATCTACTGGGTTAGAATCCACTTAACCACTGATATTTCTGTTTGTCTGTAATATTTTTGCATCTACGGAGCCCCACTCTACTCCTTGGCTATAAAATACCCTTACATATCTTTATGTGGGGCTGAGCCTCTCTCCATAAATACAGAAACCCAACATGTCATCTCTATATGTATCTCTATAGTTTTTAATAGTCTCCCTAGATATAATTTAGTGAGTGTCACAGAACAATTTTCTGTTGTAAAGCATTTAATTTAGAATTTATTTTTCCATTGTTATAACAGGTGAGTAGCCACCTTCATCAAATGTGAACAATGTTCTTACAGAGACTTGAAGTCCCATCTTAGATGGCCTCAAGATTCACAGTCCACTTCTCTTGGGACCATTGTCCTCCCGTAGTTGAGTTTGCCAAGCAAATAATGGGAAATGAGTGGAAGAATGAGGCTGAGGGATCTAGAGCTCAGCAGCCATTTCTAAGGCCTGGTCATAGACAGCTCATCATCTACAAAGGATCTTGTTAAGAAAGAGAGTTCTGAGATCTGCCTCAGACCATCAGAGCTGCAGGGAATGGTGTCCAGCCATCTGAACTGTTATTAAGCCCTGAGGATGATTCTGATCTCTACTGAACTTTGGGAACCACGGACACAGGGTTGTTGTAAAAATGACAGAGGAACATGTGAAAACTGCTCAGAATAGTCTCTGGAACCTCAGTGTTACTTACCTATAGTCCCATCTGAAAACTCAGCACAGCAGCAGG